CTGCTTTGGGACTTGGATGTACTTTGCCCTGAGGGGGCACAGTGCTTTGCGCTTCCCGATTTTCTATTTTCATTCATATGGGGCAATAGAGCGATAAAAGCTTATCGCAGTCATTACGTAGCAACCGCTCTGACTGTTGTTGTCGAACTTTGAACGCCAGTAAAATGTTGAATGTCGTTTAGTTTTCGCGGCGTCGGATCCAACCGGTTTCCAAGCATGAACTTGAGCTTCTGCTCTTACAGGGCTTAAGCTCAGCTCGCAGACGACACAGCGCTAGACAGATATATCTATATATATATATCTAGCCGCACATATGATGACTAAAATATGCATTTGAGATCGGCTAATTGGATTTAAGCACAACTTACAACCTACTTGATAGCTGGATGTGTGTGGGATGCGATAAAAGCCCAGCTAATGATAATAAGTGGCATAACGTAGACGACTTGAGTAATAAATTAACTATTACATTTTATTAACTGCACATTATCATCAAAAGTATCAAATTGCAACGGTATCTGTAGTAACATAAAGCTAGCTTCTGAATCGCAATAATTATTATTAAAAAAAAAAATAATTATTGCGGCAACAAATTTATATTCGCATATAACTCGCTCGGGTAAAGTAAACATTTACTTAATTCGTAGAATTAAGTTCCCCTATTATTTGTGACTATAAAAACAACTTGGCCGGGTCTAAAATGTCAGATCAGTTATATTCTCAAATTAAAGGCCGTTATAAAGCGTAATACTAAGTCTTTATAGACACATCGTTTTTTCAAGCTTCTCTCTCTTGAAACTTGTGCGTTTCTTTTTCGCACTGCGTGAAGCATTAATGGTGCTCGCTGTAAAACTATTACGAAATATATCAACCATATTAAATATCATATAAACAGCTTTAAAAACAAAAAAAAAAATATAAAAAAAAAACATATTCAGCATAAACAACCATTACAACGAAGTGTGAAACTGAAGATCAACAATTGCATGGAATTAGCTGGCTTGATTTCCACTTCAAAACCCGAATGAAAATTCCGCAAAGTCTGCAATTAAATGCTCGAGGCCGTCGTTGATGACGATGTTTCTTTTCAGCTGTCGTTGTTCATTTTGGCTTTTCGTTATTATCGGTTTGGTTTTCTAGTAGGCGGTCTTATCAATTCGCCTTAGAGCGGTTCCGTCAGTGACTCCGTTACTGTTACTAAACGGACGGACGGTCAAATACATCGATAATGCAATAAGCGTACAAATAAACATTATAGGCAACACTCAGATAAGATAGCCGTACAATTAACGGAAAACATATATGTATAAGTATATTAGGTGCGAGTAAGCATGAGCTGTTTGCATATTTACATACACACATACATAGTATGTACAGATACCATATACCCTTGAATATGGCCAGCTTTATGACGCGGTGAGCCACTACTTGCCGTACATCAATCGAGCCACCACCCAACGTCAGACAACTCTACCCTTTGCCCACTTTGTCCAATGTTGGAAAATCCTCAACGGACCAACGTAAATTATGTCATACTGTTAGTTAAAAGTGTGCAAAACGACGCCAATGATGCGGCACAGTGTGTTGTTATCATATCTCTCATAAATTGCTGATAAACAATATTTTTAGTAAAAGCGAAGTACTTAAAAAATAATTTATATATATCTTATTTATTATATATAAATGAAATCAGTCAGTTAGAACATTCTTGCAACTTGCCAAAGTAAGTATCGATAAATAAGATCCCTGATATCCATATTTGTGTGCCATGCACACACATATATATAAAAACCAATAAGATTTGCAGTTGTTTGCCCCCTCCCAATGGACAATTTACTGATAAATATATATCGGTTTGGGCCTGATACCACTGACAATCGGCAAGTTGTCACTTTTTGGCACACCGTTAACCACTGTGCGCAGCCGAGTCGGACTTGCTCGCGCTTTTGAACGACAACCGCTCTCATTCACTCGCCGCAACGCACACTGTACGGAGGCACGGAGGCCGCAATAACATAGATAGCTGACCGATCGCATACTCAAGTCGTTGGAGTCGACTCTCTGCAGAAGCCGCCATGAACAAATACGCATTGCTGGCCGTGTGCCTGTTGGCTGCCGTGGGCGCCCTGCTGCTGGAGGTGCGGGCTAGCCCCAGTCCGCAAAAATTGAGCAGCAGCCAGCTAGAAAGCGTCTCTGCAAAGTTTTTGCCACCGGAGTTTCGCAATACAAACGTCAGCATGGGTAAGTTCCTGACCCTGTGACATAATCGTAATTGATTGGAAATAAATCGTGGATCTATCGTCTATCGTTCACAGATGATATTAAGCGCGTCTATCGCGAGAAGTGCAAAAAGGTGACAGGCACGGATAACTCAACGTTGTATCAGGATATCGAGAATGCTGCCGCACAGCTGGGCTCCTGTCTCAGCGGCCTGGCCAATCTGACGGCGCTGCAGGCTGAAATGGAGGCAGCCCGGCCGATCGGTGAGCTGGATACCGTGTTCAACAAGTATTGCCAGCGTGCACCGGAGGCCGAGGAGTGCGTGCGCGCATTCAATGCGAAGATGAAACCCTGCCTAACCGCTGAGGAACTGCGACAACAGGCCACCATGATGCGCCTTGGTGCCTCACTGCTGGAATTCGCCTGCTCGCGCGGCGGTGATCAAATTGCGCTATTCGTTGCCGAACAAGGACCCGAGTGCCTTGAGGCCAACAAGGAGAGCATTAGCAGCTGCCTGAACAATTCATTCCATCAGTATATACCCAAGGATGGCCAAGTGCCCGATCTGATGAGCCGACCCGAGCTGCTCTTCTCGCCCACACACTGCGTGGACCTGCAGAGCTTCGAAGCCTGTGTGCTGCATCATCTGGAACAGTGTGCCGAGATCACGCCCGCCAACATTGTGCAGTCCATCTTCCGCTTTGTGAAGAACGAGACCGACTGCCAGGCGTGGATGAATGCACGCGCCAACGAGCGGCCCATCCTGCTGGCCAGCGCCAACAATACTGGCGGCGGCGACGGTGCCGCCACTCTGGTCACGACCCTTGGCGGCACCTTGGCCGTCACGCTGGGCGCCTTCATGCTGCGCTACTAGGCTAGCATTTAGAATTTCATACTCATAAATGCGTTAGCTTTGAAAAAATGCTTATAGTATTCCTTATTTTCATTATCATATAATTTTTTTTTTCTCCCTATCTGCAATAATGAGAGTAGTGATAACATTTCCAGCCTATTGTGCAAGTATTCGTATGTATATTATCATTTTTTTTTTTTCGTTTTTGTTTAAATACTTTTGTGCGGTACTTTGTAATTTAATGACTACTTTATTTATTGCTTATAATAAACAAACGATTACGATATGCATATGTGCCGGCAACGACCCCTCCCATGGGCAACGTGTGGTAATTCAAGGTACTCTTGTGTAGTCTGGACAGGGGATTAGCTGGGTAAGCAATTGTATGCCATATTTCAAGGAAATGTATATTTACTTAATTCTCTTTGCGGGTTATTTATATCTGTAACAAATCGAACGATTGCCTAATCATCAGGAAATATCATAAAAATATCAGGCATTCGGTACGATAAGCATAAGTACACATACATATGTAGTTTATATAAATACTTATGTATTGATATGCAACGGTTGGCAAATCTTATCAAATCTTCGTATCTATCGTATCACTTATATTTTCAGTATCAGCTTTGCTCCTTTTTGCCATGCAAACAAAGTTCAAGAACTTGGCACATAAAACAGACAGAGTCGATGATTCAGACAATACGAAATTCGATAAGGCTTCATTTGTAAGACTCTGCCTCTGAGTCACGCATGCAAGAAGGATTGCATACTTTTGCGCTGCTCGCTAATTTATTAAGGGATATATCCACTGCCGATATTCAGGCTAAGTCATTAGATAGTGAGGACCCGAACAAAAAAATTGATGGGATTTGTGACCAAACCAAGATAGACTCATTTATTCTTTGAGTGTATGCCCATACAGATAGATATACCCAATCGCATGCTTGCTGTATAGGGTAGCCGCGGTATCTGGTAAATGCCTAATATGAGCGGTAATCAGACTAACATTAGTTAGTATGTGTATAAATGCGAATAGAAATATAAATATGTCATAGATAACTGGAACGGGAAAGTACGCATTTACATGTTGAAGTGAAGAAATGAGAAATGTGTTAAATGTAAGCATTTCGTGATTAATACATTAGATCATTCTATTTCTAAACGCCATCCGAAGGAAAAGATTATAGTTTTTATATGTGAAAAGCAACAGAAAAATAATTAATTGAACAACATTTAATTATGTAAGGGCAGTAGAAGTAACCGGGAGGATTCGTTTCATATTTAAACCATATTTTGTCGGTTGCACTCTGCTCGGGAGTACTTGACTAGCAGATACCTTAAACACATCGCCAAACTGCGGTTACAACCTTTCCAGGCTCCATTTACACATATATATACAGAATATACACACACACACAAGCACGCTTCTTCTCCTGTTTAACACACACTATGGGAAATGTATTTTTGATTAACTTCGTTGTTTTCAGTCCAAGCCATATAAATATGGCACACAAATGGCGCAAGGCTCTTCATAATGGAGATGAAATAATATTTTCCTCTATTTTTAAGTGGAATTGGATCCATACAAAACACATAGCATAGCTATGTATACTATATGAGAGCCAACATAAAACATTTGCTGTCTGTAGCTCTAATGATCCCCAAAATAAGCCTACAAATCCATGTATCTGAATTGATATTTATTAATCGTATGCATTTTAGACAGCCGAACCGCCAAACTTATTAAATATTGTTTTTAACTTCCGTCAGTGCAAGATTAAATATGACTTCAGATCTTTCAAGACATTTTTAAAACATGGCGCACCTTTACAGCAACAATTGCTGTTGCAGCTATATATTGTAAAATAGTGAGCTGCTCTTGAAATCATTTCTGCACTTTTGGCAGGTTAGTTTAGTTTGGCACAACCAGATAGTTTATTCGGTCTATTCTAAGTATACTCTAGATAAATAATTCTTATAATCATTAATATTATTTATGTGCATAAGTTATAAATACGAATAACTATATATACAAGTGAAAGCCCAGGCCCTGGATTTCTAAACTATTTAACTATGGTTAAAAAAAAAAATGTACTTAAGAAGCAATAACTATTTCGTGATTTTTGCAGACCGCGCCTGCTGTAGCATTTGCTGCTGCTCTTGCGCCTGCTCTAGATCTGTTTCTTGCTCCTCCAGATCCTCTAATGCATTCTGCTCCTCCGTATCCACACTCTGCTCGAGCACATCGTCCAGATGCATCCAGACGTACTCGACTGCCGCACGCAACTCGCTGGCATATTTCCAAGCGCTGCGATCTTCAACCAGCTCGGTCAATTCATAATTTGCATCCGGCTCGCGATAGTGCTGCATGTGGGCAAGCTTCGTACTGACGGATCGCGGATTGCAGCTACCCGGCAGCCACTTGAGCGTAAAATGATTGTGCAGCGTCAGCGAGTAGCGCGTGTTGTGGAAGCACTTGGTCGCCCGATTGGGCAGAGAGTAGTTGCGATGACGCATTGTGTGCTGCAGCACATAGAGCTGGTCGGCCTCCAGCTGCTCGTGATTCTGTGCCTCGGGCACCACCTTGGTGAAGTAGGTGTTGATGAAACACATAGAGACATGGCCATTGGGACATTTAGCAATTGTTGTTTCCTGGTCCGTGTCCAGCACATCCTGCCAGCTGCGCAGCGTGCCCAGCGGCATAATCACCTCATCGACATCCACATTAACCATATAGTCGTACCGATACATATTCCTATAGAAGCAATCATTGTAGGGTATCAGCTCGTTCAGCCGCTTGACCAGACGCCGCTGCTGCAACAGCAGGTGCTGATAGTGTCGCAGCCGTGGCATGCCGTTGGCCAGCGTAAGCGGACGCAGCTCCAGGTAGCCAATGCGCTGATAGTAGTCCAGGACCCGTTGCACCGCCGGATGCACGTCGTACATGTAAGCGTAAATGCGTGAGGCGCCCATCAGGCGCTGCAGCTCGAACCATTCGATCAAACGCTCCGACAGATCTATGTATGGAAAATCAAAGCCCTTCACGCATACGCCAAAGCTGAGCTTGGCCGTTGCATTGCTGCGGGATGTGGAATTCAGGCTGGATCCGAAGCTGGGCTTCACCGTGTCATTTAAGGCTGCAGGGATATCGTAGTGGACACGAAGCGAATTGCTGGCGCGCTCACAACTTTCGGTGACCAGAGAGACGGTACGCGGCGTGGCGTATTGCAGATTGGGCGGCAAATCGGGCACCGGGCAGCTTAACAGATGAGGATAGTTGAGCAGTGGCGTATGGCCCCAGTTGCTGATCCATATGCTCAAGTATTCGCTGACCCGCGTCATAATGGGCTCATTGTGGTCCGCATACCACAGCTGGCAATGCGTCGGCGGGAACTCATTGTTGATTTGATTGGCCGTCGCCAGAACGCGCACCACGCCCTTTGGCAACTTGACGCCGGGACGCAGGTCCAGGTAGGCAGCATACAGACGGAACGTCACGTTTGCATTGATGAAAGTCTGCCAGTAAATGTTGTGCAGCTGCAGATCCAGCGGATCCGGATACAGGGCGCATGTTTTGTTCTGGCGATATTTATTTGGCTTCGCATAGCGATACCAGAAGCCATAGTCCACCTCGGGCAGTTCGTGCTCCAGCTGTTGCACCAGCTCCTCATCAACTGGCTCCTCCAGAGTCTGCACCGGTGGCGGTGTCCCCTTCACTACGCCAGCCGACGTCCTAACGTGCTGCACTTGCTCCACAAACAGTTGCTCGGCCCGCAGCTCCCGATCCGCACTGTGCAGTGCCGACAGCAGCAGCAACAGCGCAAACATCACAAGCAGCGCCAGTAGCGTCAGCTTGATAAAGCTACCTCTACCTCTTGTTGACATTGCGGCCAAACTAATCGTGGCAATCATTGCGCTAACTGCCGAACCCGGCAATCGTCCGCTTTATCTATGTGAGGTCTACGAGTCTAACAGCCACGAAGTGCCTCCTGCCGTTGGCCACATTTGCGGCCCGAACGCTTATCAATGTAGTGGCTGATATCCATTTACTAGCTAGTCAGACTGTTCGACCATAAAGCAATTGCACTGAGAAAAAATTTTATATATATAAACTCAATGAAATAAGGACACTCTGGTCACACCCAAAAAACCAACAAAAATTGCCTCAATTTTCGAAAATTGCCATATTATCAAACATTTTATTAATTTCCATTAACTTGCATGTGTTCAAGAAAATCTTATCAACAAATATCAGAAAATATTTTCTGAAACTAAGACATTTTGTTTTATTAAGCCGATTTTCTAAAATGTAGGAAAAAACTTTTTTGGTATCTAAGATAAAAATATGTGTAAGCTAAATTTTAATTTAACATATGCTTATAGCATATAGATAATACACTAAGATTAATGAATAACCACACATTTATGGAAAACTGAAAGTTATAAGTCATATCGATTTATCTATGCTTTGCTTTGCTTAATATCTATATAGTATATGCATAACATAAATGATTTTCGCTTTACTTGCAATTTGTTTTCGGAACTCTTGTATTCTCAACATGTTGTTTTTGTCAGTGTCCACAAATTTGCCAGCATAAGTCTATATATACAAATTTACTATCTGGGCAAACCCACAACTGATCTTAAGTGTGTGTCAGATTGATTTGGCTGTTTAGTTATCTTTGACTTACAGTCATAGAACTGTATTTTCCTTTTGAAGTGAAGTGTGTGCCATATTACTTATCAACTTACTGACTGGCCTAAACAAAAACAAAACTCGAATATGACTTTATTGTTTTTAATTTTTCATAGAAACATTTTGCTATGGCGCATAGTAGTGGAATTTTGGAACTACCTCGTGAAAGGTGTTAATAATTCGTTTGGCGCTCAGTATCTTGGCGGTGCGAAACATAAATTCGGTGAAGTTAATTGAAATGAATTAATAATTCCAATTTATGGGCCATTTGTGCAATCGCCTAAGATATCAATGAAATCAATCAAAAACGAATTAACATGTGCCTCTCCGCGGCTACCGACTTTTTAATACTCTATTTGAAGCTTAAAATAATGTTGCATTTAATTTGAAATGCTAAAAAATATATAATATATATTTTATTATATAAAACCTACTATTAGCCTAACCTAGCATGTGTATATAAAGGGATTTATTTTTTTGTTTGATAATTTGTTCCTGTTTCGTTTAATAAGTCTAATCCAAAATTGAATTCAATCCACAATTTCTTTCACAGCAACATTTATATATGTGTAATATACACCTGTACTACACATTTAATCTGACCTAGCTTTCCCACCCTGTCCAGTGGCAGAAATGTGTAAAGAGACATGCGCAAAAGGTTTTTCAAAAATATAAAGATAAAATATGTATTAGTTTGGCCCGTGGTCGCTGCGCTTGGAACATGACATTGCTTTTAAAAGTAATTTAAAACAAGTTTTTGTTTTGTACGCTGTAATTGAAAATGGACGCGTTGAGGTTGCATTTTGAAGTGCTCCAGTTTTGTAAATAACGCCAGCCAAAGCAGCACATTTATATATTTAAGTACTTGAACCTACTAGTTGCAATTAAATTTCCAAGATAACGTTGATAATATATTTGTTGGGCCGATTGGACAACTAATTAATGTTAATCATATAAATACGGTGTGTAGAGTCTTGGCATTTATAAGCTTTGATGTCAATACCTCGGATAAGATAAACCCTATTATCTTCCATTTAATTCCTCTAGTTGGTATTCTGATAGTTAGGTTAATCAAATGCTTAATTTGTTAATATTTTTGGAATACCCATGAATGAAGTTAAATGTTTTGTTATTTTTTTGTTTATTGTTAGGTGCCCGCCCCCCGCTTCTCTTACCCATTTACTACCCGCTAGACCGCTTGTTATGGCCAGTTGTCCATTGAAGTGTTGATAAGCAAGCGGGGCCAGATAAGAGTATAAAATAAAGAGCCAAAAAGACAGTGAAGAATTAATAGTAAGACTTGGAATGGAAGTCCCAACACTTGAATAAAATAAAATTATTCATTAAACGGGTAATTTGGCTTTATGGCATCTGAAAATCGAATATCGTTGTCTCTCACAAATTCAAGCGTAGAGCTACCAAGCTTTGTAGATAGCCCATAGAAGATCTTCTCAAATGATCGATTAAATAGTCGATATATAAAATAGGTAATCTACTCGGATTAAGCCCAACACAAATAAATACTGACTTAACAAAAAGTCATCTCTGGACCTGTTGAAGCTTTATTATACTCTGAACAGAGGATTGCGTGGAAGAATGCACCCAATGTTCGTTTTCCATTTTGTTCATTTTGTCATTCTTTATAAAAAAGAAAGGAAAAAGTGCGCATAGTTTCCACATACTTTCCTTTATAGCAGTATTCACCTTTTAGCTGCTTTCACAAGTCTAGCAAAAAAAGTGTTTGTTTTGTTCAGCAGGTGGCTCTTTCCAAAGGGTATGCACTCATTGGGCTTCTCAAAATTGTTTAAGTGCACTTAATTTTCATACCCAGTGACCAAAAAATGACCAAGTGGGGAACTGTGTTTCATAGATGTGTCTGTTTAAATAGGGTAACTAAATAATAAAATTTTCGGGTTATGTTAAATACCAAAATGATTAAATGAATAACCATGAGGGTATTTAGGGTATTTACTAGTCGCGCACCCTTGGTCAACGCCAATTCACGTCTATTTTGTTTGTATTTCTGTATTTTATTTTTTACTTTTGTCGAGCTATTATAACTTTGCGCTGCCCTATTTTTGCAAGTAATTTAAAAATAATTTGATGTTGTTGCTCCTGCTGGGGTTCGCTAGGATGGGATTAACGTTTTTGCTAGGTCCGAAGTTTGCTTTATTGACATTGTCACCAGGGCTTGTGACAATGAGCGCATACCTGCAGGACGACCACGGCGATGGGGAGTTGAGAGGACGACGAGAGTATAATAAAATTGTGAAACAACTTTTTAATGAGAAACATTTTTTGCACATTGCGCTGCCGGTGCGAAGGGGTTGCGAAGGGGGTTAGCTGCTGGCCTGCCCATAATGTGGGTGCACCAAGTTTGTAAATTGTTGCTGCTGCCACGAATGCTGATGATGATGATGCTGATGCTGATGCTGTCGCTGCCTGCGGCTGGCTCGCAGCCAGATATATTCGGGATACGAATGGCAAACGCGAGGAAACTTAAGTTACCTTCAAATGTTGCGGTTATCGCATAAATTTAATGAAAATTACGTGAATGCCTATTAAAATGCGGAATTTCTACAGGTCTTAAGTATATCAATTTAGCAACGAGCGATATAACTTTGGCACGACTATTCACCAGGGTACTCAATGGGAATTCACACCTGAAAAGCCACTTAAACCGCATAGTTGAGGTTTGCTGGCTGTGATCAAATTATTATCGTTCATTTTAGTTGGAAATACTCAATTGCGAAGTGGCAGTCTCTATTTATAGTAATCGGTTATGTTACTGCCGCTAAGTTTCTAAAAATTAAAAAAAATATATATGTATATACATATATTTAAGTACCTGCAATGTGCGTGTCGAATAACGGACTACATTCAATCGATCAATAATAATACATACTTAAATAGGTCTCAAAATTGTCCCCTAATTACCAAACAAATTTAACTAAGCATTTAAATTGAATTGCATTTCTAATTTAAAGCTTTTCAACATGTATAAATGTAAAGAGTTGTAGATAAAACCATTGTCAAATAATGGAATTCACAGCCATTCGGCGGGAAGATCAGCACAGTTAATCCAGCTAAGACTGCAGGCGTTTGGATTCAAGCTTTGGAACAGCTGGAGCTCTTGCTATATTGTAGATCTTTTGCAAGCACTTGTTGCTGCTGATGATGAGCTGCGGCTCCATTAACAACAGCCACACAATCGATTTTAGTCGCATGGAAAATACGTGCTACAAACAACACTAACTACTTGCCTGCGAGTGGAAAACTTTTGTGCCCAGACGATTGACGCGACCATTGTCACACACACACGTACACACACAGAGCCGAACACATAGCCAGGGCTAAAGCCGGATACAAAGCCTGAGCTGGATCTGTTCAGGCTTATGGGCCGCAGTCCACAGCAGTGACGCCCACAAGACTGGGCTACAATTAACTATGAAAATTTTACGCCGCACTGCAAAACTGCAAACTTTTTGCCTTAATTGCCCAGAAAAGTAACACAAATGAAACGCATCGACGCTTAATTACTTTTGCTAAATGGCAGGGACGTTGCCGTCGACTGCGTTAGGTAAACAGTGGGCGGGACGGCACTCGAGCACTTTGCTTTTATTTTGGTTCTGGCCAAGAGCAAGGGCCAACTTTGCAGCATGCGGGCGTAAAAGGTAGCTAGAGGTTGGGTTTGTGGCACACTTTGAATTTGCAGCATGGCAATTTACTGCATTCAGTTCATGGCATTGGCTAAGACTCCTTCTGTTTATACCCTTGGCTTTGGATATTACCGAATATTCCCGTGGTTTGTTCGACATATCGCAGAAATCTTTTTATTTCATTTTAAATTTAATCAATTAATATTTGACAGATTTGATTGAAATCTCTATTTACCATATATTTTCAAAATTTTAATAATCAATTTAATTCTTATTTTATAATTGCCCGTTGTACTGAAAATATTGCAAGCCGTAGATGTTTTCATAAACAAGGTAGGGCTAAATTTGATGCCTGCCCACAAAATTGGCATCTACCAAATATGGTTAGATGAATGCAATTGTTGGGATCAAAGTTATTTGTATATATAGTACGAGACTACTATATATAACCTCAATTTGTGTAACTTTTGTAGTTCCGCAAGAGCATCGTATGTTCGGCTTGATCAATATAATAAAATCGACATCTTCCTGGCTTAAGTCGGACTGATTGCTGCCAGCATGTGAGCGGCGCAGCACGATTTGACTTTTGTAGACGTCACAATTTGAGAAGTTTCGCCAGCGCTGTGGCAAACTTGGCCAAAAACTTGTCTGGCACTTGGTCTCAAGTTTTTGATTAAAAGCCTGCCACAAAACGCCATGCACGCAGTGGGGAAAACTTTTTTATACCACTCGCAGCCCGAAGATTGTTAATTGAATGCACTTTGGGTGCGCAATGTTTGCCTTTTACCCAAATGAGTGGCCATCTGTTAGCAGCTGAAATTAGTGAACGAAGTGCTCCAAAGAATAACTAAATAGCTGGCATATATATACATTCATAGATATATAGATAAATGGATAAACGATCGATACGAGGAAATTTTCGTTATGCTGAAATTGTATCTTGATAGGCTAAGTTACAGATCTGCCAAGCTGTATTTAGTTGCTAATCAGGTCTACCTCATCTTTCGATAACTATCGATAGATAGATTAAGGACTATTCCAATAAAAACATCAAAGGCATGCTAAATGATGTATAAGTTAAGTTGGCCGACATCTATTCATAGTTGCAAAGACAGACACAAAATTTGGGCAATGAATGCGTTGTCTGGCCCGGTGTTTGCATTCATCAATCACACAGGACTCCCCGCTAGGGATATGTTTATTGTATCCCCACAAATTGATATCGGCAATACGAAGCCCATTTGTTAAACTGCATTTCAGCTGTCAGTTCAGTTGCTGCTGCTGCTGAGCAGCCTGTTGCCAGCCGCATTCGTGGAGCTTGAGTTGCACATTTCATGCAGGATGAGAATACCTTAAACGACGCCCACCCCCCTCTCCTAGCTTTATGGGGCGGTCGAGACACGTTGGGCAGATGCACCCGCATCCCGTATACAGCCATAGACATCTACAGACACGCCCCACAGCTGTTGCTGGGCGTGGCGCCTTTTCACTTGAATGAAGTGCAAGCCAACGAAGTAAAAACCCGAAAATAATAGCAAAAGCATCTGCAGATATTCTATAAAAGCCGAGGCTAACGAGATTTGATGAATTGCAAGTCTTTGTGAAAGGAAGCTGCAGGAAAACTGTGCGTGAATAGCGCCTTCAACTCCAACTTCCGAAAGCCGTCCAGACCGCCTCTAAGCAAGGGAAAAAAACAAGAAAAAAAAGAAGCCATTAAGTGGTTTAAACCAGTGAAAAAGCGCACAACAAGCAACAGCAACGAAAAATGCAGTTGACATAAAAGAAACCCAACCAGCTAAAGCCAACTCCCACGCCAGGCTCAGCCTCAGCCCCCGCGCCAACGCCAGCACCAGTCTGGCAGGCAAACAGACGGACAGTTAACTAGATAGCAAGCACGTGGATACGAGCACAAAGCATCTTGACGAAATACTTGGAAGCTGTGTTGGACCAGAGCAGCGATGCTGAGACGCAGTCTTAATATTGCTGCAAAGAAATTTAATTTAACCAACCGCTTTCCCGGTATCCAGATAGGATTCATTACTTGCTTGCCGCCAGGTGCAGGCAGTTAATGCTGACAGCTATTGTACCAGTTGAAATCCAATTGGACTTATGTCATAGGCGGTGAAGTGAGCTGTAATTACGGAAATCAAGTTTTTATAGATCTCAATGAAATATCTGAGGTATTACACTTTGCATGCGTACCGCTTGTTAGACATTAATCGAAAGCTTTTACATGCGATGCAATCGTCACGATTTCAATTTCCAGCTTGTAAATTAACTGACTTGTAAATATTGGTGGTCCGAATTTTAAAGTTGGTGTCAACTTTGCCCACAGACAGCATAGAGTAGAATTACCGTTGTAAAAGCTTTTCATTGAGACACCACAAAGTATGCAATGTGCGCGATCTAAGCTCCAATTCGGAGCGAGTTGGAGCTTTAAGCGAATCACAGATATTGATCTTTGCTGCACCATTGTTAAAAATGAAAGTAAACAGTCGACTAATCAAACTGGACGGTGCCATGTTTACTGCACGAAATGAGGAAAAACTATGCCTTGACTTTAAAGCCAGTTAAACTTGAATTTGCTGATTTTTTACATGTGTCTAGTATTATGTATAGATCCGTAAATTCAATCAAAATTCAAACCGAGGGGTACACTCAACACACAGGCAGACAGAAAGAGGGAGAGAGAGACTGAGTGAGCAGGAGGGAGCAAGAGGGAGCAAGTAAGGAGGAGGCACAAACAGAGTGCACATCTCTGGCTGACAAATGGTGCATTAGAGTTTTACATAGACTGCACGATCCGGACATGGAGCGACTCTCGTTTTCAGCACTGAGCATGGCCATATTGCTGCACTCGGTCATGGGCATCTCATACTACTTTCTGATGGCCCGGTGCTCCCCGGCGCCCCTGCTAGGCAGCTGGCTGTTCGTCGCCTGCATTGGAGCCGTGCTGCAGGTGGTGCACATATTTCCGCAGTGGTGCCGCAACTGTTCGTCCCTATGCCGCCTGACCATGGAGATGGCCGTGTGCTGCTTCACGCTGGACCTGATGCTGACCAAGCTGTGGTGTCGCATTGAGTCGCTGTGCCACTGTGCCATCGTCGGCATCCTGCAGCTGTTCGTTACGGAGGACCGTACCTTTGCTTCCTGCGAGTACTGGATGCTCGGTGTGACCACCAGCGTGATAGGCGCCTGCCTGCTCTGGTTCACACTGTGGGCCACCGCGTTCCCCAGCAGGCTACGTCTGGACTATACCAATTGGCAAAAAAACGTCTCACGTTCTTTTAAACAAAATATTCGCCATTTGGCTTTTGGGCCGTCGAATCTGCAGTGCGCCACCTCCCCGCGCTTGGAGGAAAGCGAGCAGAGCTTTGCCAGTTGAGCCAGTCGCAGGACAACAGGTATTAATAACTGGAAAAAATAAGTTCAAAGTTGAAGGTGGGTCAGGCCGCAATGACATTTACCATGCACCACAACCTGTTTTAGAACTAAGCCAAACAAACTTGACAAATTGCAAAAAAAAACATTCAGCAGTCCCCTAATTCTGCGTTTCCCCAAACAAATGTGACTTGCAGCAAGCAATGATGTGTGCCCTAAACCCATTCCTTGGAAGTTTGTGGAAATTTCAAATAAAATGTTATATAAAGTATATCAATCTTAAGCTGGCTGACTAAAGGCTGACCAATGCTTGTTATTATTATTTTTAAGTAGAAAACAGACGAGTTGCTCGCTGTGCACTAATCCGTTGCTTCACGCGTTACAATTCGCAACCAGTTTAAGCAACAAAAGCGGGACGAGGTATTTCCCCCAAACTACAATCCTAGATACTTTTTATAGCTTCCTGAAGAAAGAGCTTAGAATTTATGTTAGGCAGCAGGGTTTTATCTGGCATTAGTGAAACAATTTTCTTACGACCTTGCAATGTTTTCCTACTATCGAACAAGCAGCAAATAAACCAAATTGGAAAAGCATCTTGTTTTTTTTTGTAGCTTTTAGCCAACCGGCGCACCGGTGCAGCCACAGAGAAACCCGTTTGAGCGAGTCATGGCCATGAGGCAATGCGGAAAACATCCGCTGCACGCGCCTAATTGTGGGCTGGTGCACTCCTCCTCTTGTTGCGTTTCGGAAGACGGAACCAAAAACCAAAAAAAAACGAATGCAGCAGTCGGGAATACTGGACTATAATACACCCTTTACGCGGCTTTAAGTGCAGCTGAAGCTTGAACGAAAGTCATGTGATACCAAAGAAGTGCCATCAAATGGTATGCATATATGTTTCTGATATTTCATGACTTTTGAAAGGCTCGTCGATCACATTATTAATAATGCAAACTAAATATAGTCCATGTGTATATTTGGTAAGGGTATTCAAATTGCCTAGCGCTGTGTGGTTGGAGTTGCGCTCGTGTCAAACTTGAACTTGAAACATGACTTAAACTGAACGATGATGCACATGCAACAATGTGCACAGAATGTGCAACACCGAAGACACGCAAGCGCCTTATTTTGTTTTTTGTTTTTAAACACTTGTAAGTAGCTAACAGCTTTTGGCTGCAACTTGTGGCATGCTACAGTTAAACTGCTTTTAATGGCAATTGAGGAAAATTGGCAGCTACGTCGGCTGCGTCCCCAGCTGCAGCTCTGGTGCCGGTTGGTCGGCCTGGCTGGCGCTAGCTGCAGCGCCTGGTCGGTCGGTATATAAGCAGGTCCGCTGGCGTCACTGGCGTTAATCAAATCGCGTCGCTAGACAGTCTTAGGCTGCACTAAAAAGTGCAAGTGTTTTGCCAACAACAGCAGCAACAAACTATTTATAAACAAACGCGCGCAAAACGTTTTCGCCCCCAAACCAAACAAGCAAACTGTTAACCATAGCAGAGGTGAAGCTTTTTGTGTTTTATTTTCTTCTTTTTTTTTCCTTCCCATTTTCTTTACTTTGTTATTGTTTTAAGCAAATATTTGCGCTTATGTATAAGCATAATTGTTATAAAACTACAAATTAAAAAAAAAAAAAATGAAAAGAAACAACACTGCGCAGCTAGTGAAAGTGAACTTTAAATAAGATTGTTGCCGCCCATTCATGGAATTTTGTTAAGCAATTTATGGTGCTTATGTTTTTGACATGTGTGCTACATGGCAATTAACAAAGACAATCCCTCAGCAGAACAAGACACTTAACTACTTCATAGCCCTCACTGGGCGTGTGACTTGCAACAGACTCAAAATAAATCAATTTATTAATATATATTAATATATATATCTATTTAAACAAAATATAACAGAAATATTATTAATAAATACCCTGTTGAAGAGCTTAAAATTAAATTAATATAATAATTATAGTTAAAGGCTGTCTGCAAATTTTAGACATCACCTTTAACAACCATTTCTCGCCCGTGGGAAAATTAAAATTTACTACCGTATAAGTCCAACCAGCGAAGTGAACTTATTAGCAATCGGCGAAAACGAATTCCAAATGTTTATTTACAAAGCTCAAAGTCAGTCGAATGAAAAACAAAAAATTCGAATCAACAGCTATCCGCCTGTCAGCTATACAAAATCGCTGAGACACGTATTTATTACTTCTGAATAAGTTTAAGGGCAACTAAACTTTGTCCAATTGCCACTTCTACATTTTCCACCTAGGAGGCTGGATTTGCCATAATTTATAAAACACACCTTGAATAAATAAACACCGAAATCTTTGGAGAGAAGCTTGAACCAATTTGTGAACCAAAATAGTAATCAATTTGTCAAGTTTGCGTTTGACATTTTTCAAAACCCTCTAAATATATATATATTACCTAGAGTGACAGTTTGAATAAGTCTCTAACCCATTCATTTAATCTAATTTAAAACACTGTAAAGAGTATCGCGCTGTCGGTTGCACCCGAATGTGACGTTTTAAATACATACATACGTATTATAAAATATTGTACAGAGTTTGACTGTTAACTCCCTGTCATGAAAAATTATTTATTTTAGCTTGTGGCTACATCCGCTTTATTTTCGATCCCACATTTCAGATGCTGTGCCAAGGATATTTCCATTGCCTGCTGCTGATTGCCCAGCTGCTTGTGCTCCCATTGTTGCATGCCTCGCCAGTATCAAGCCCAGAAATATCCAACAAATCGAACAAGTCGCCAAACAGCGTCCTTGCGCAACAGCAGCAACAGCAGCAACAGCAACAACAGCAACAACAGCAACAACAGCAACAACAGCAGCAGCAACTACTCAAGTCGAATCCCAATGCCCAGGAAGCGCATCTAAACTCGCTGAGCGCGTTTGCCACGAGCTACGGTAACTTGGGCACGGCTCAAGCACAGATGCAGCCGCCGACTGAAGCAGGATTCAAGCCCTCCTATAAAATGCCCGAAATGGAGACGAACTTTACGCCCATGCAAAGTGGAGGTCTTGGCGAGAGCACCAGCATTGCCAGCCTGCCCAGTACACCCATGCTGATGCAGTATCTGCCGGCGCAGACGCTTCAGGATGGCAGTGGGACCGTCCAGTATCTGCAGCTGATACCAACGCGTCCCATCATTGTGCCCATCAGTCCATATTTGACCACAGCGGCCACTGGCGGCGTACAGGCGCCGGTGCCCGCCCTAACACCTAATGTGGCTCCAACACCCGATTATGGTGCAAGCGGAGTCCAGCTAAGTGCACTACCCGCTAATACGGGCATCACCGGCCTACACTATTCTGCTGCCGGTCTGCAGGGCTATGCCAATGGGGTCTCTCCCGTCGCCGCCTATCGCAGCAGCTACCGCATCAATCGCGAGGCGAAGGAGAAAAACTTTCCGCCCACATTTAGCCTGAATCTCAACGAGTATCTGCCGGCGGCAGCGAGTGGTCACGATGCATCGGTTTCGGGAACAGCTTCGCATCCGCATACCCAACTGTATATCAGAGCCAGGCCATAGATTGCAATCCCGACATTCACTGCAAATCCAAGTTTGTTGCTTAAGTCATTTGTTTTTGTTTTTTTTTTTAACTTTTTTTTTTTGTATATTTTGTTGTTATACTTAGCTTATAAGCTCCACAATTGTTACTATCATAAGCCGAATAAAGCCCTTCAGTAAAACGATACTGGGAAGAAATTATGGTCAAGAGTGCTCGACTAACAAGTCTGGAAATAAGTTTAAAGTACCCCAAATCTGTTATGCATGGTCATAACTTTTGTAGTTGTCTAGCGGCCGATTACATTTTTGAATTTTAATTCCAAATTAGAATATAGTTTAATATGATTTGGCAGAGTTATTATACACTAACAATTAGCTCTGTAGCGCTCATATAATACAACATAAAATGTTTAAATATTTCTTTCCCATGTCTTCATTCAAGCTTACAATAATATTTGCACCTCCCAGCCCTAATATACATAAATGTAGCATTATAAATATTACAGGGCGTATTAAAACAGCCCTAGCTTGTTCGAAACACGCAAAATAAACAAACAAACTAGTGAACATGGCTTGAAGCAAGGTCGTCTTGAGCCAACAGCCTAACAGAATGAATTGCCATTGTCTCTGGGTCGCTTTAAGTGAAAGTAAACAACAATTTCACGCCCGCCGCGGAACAGTCAACACTGTTAACATGGATAATACTTGCACTTGTGCACACGCATGTGTCAGCGCCCATTACGTTGCCAACCTTGAGGTTGCGTCAGTCAGTCCGGCCTAACGCAGTCCGGCCCTTGCCTGCTGTCATCTGTCTAATTGTCGCGTCTTGACAAATCCATTTTGAGACTTTAGCATGCCCGAGGCTTTCATTACTGCTCCATCTTTCGCTTAATTACAGTGATCGATAAAAAATAAGAAAAACCTTCTTTCACTTGCGGCATTATGTGGAGCGAATGCCGACAGTCATTCAAAGTTTTATGGGGCACCCTTAAATACTCTATCTTTAAATAATATATTATATATTAATACAATTGAACCAGTTTTGGGTTAATATTGTTACAATTGCTATTATTCTTTTTAATAATTATTATTTTGTTATTGTTTTCAAATAATATTTAAAAATTAAGTATGGATTTTTCCTATTAATATTAATACAAACTTAGAATTTCCTCTACTCATTTACGAAAACCGGAGTTTTCTCGAGATGGAAACCCAAAAGCTGAAAGGTAGAACACATTTTTATTCATTTTGATTTGTAAACTTTAATCATATTTGTAACCATTTAAGTAGCTATATAGTTTTGAATTCGATATAGTTATTTTTTATCTCAGCTGATGCATTTTTCAGAGGATCGACATGGTTGGAGCACAGAGCTGACAACGGCTTGGGGTATACCCAGAGTGATATTGAGTGTGGCACAAAATATATAAGCATTACATGCCACATCGATGTACATATTGCCACAATTCACTTTCGAGCTCTAATGGCGATGACGACGCCCCACGGCTTGCCCAGCGCTGTGCCGCACGTCTTGTGAGTCCATCATAATGAATATTTTGTGCTGTACCCAGCACATGGATGGAACTGATTAGGCCCACTTGGTCGACGAGTGCTGCGTCTGCTCTTCTGGGGCGGAAGTGAACGGTTAAGTGTTGGTCAAGCACAGCAACAAATACAAATCTATATAAATACACTTGAATATAGTTCAATTAATGGTCATGTTCGAGCTGCTCTGCCTGCCATGTCCCAGAGGGGTAGATAAAGAGGGGGGTGTGTGAGTGCCGCCCATGGCTGCTTTGCATGTTGCTGTAGCTGTTATAACACTCGTAAATGCGTAAATTAGCTTTGATGGCTTGACTTTGCATATTGTTTTTTTTTTTTTTTTTGTTGGGCGGTATTTGAATTTGAAATGATTTCAATTTTTAATTTCCAAGCTTTGGCTGCTTACCCGCACTTTCCATTTCAATTAATTGCGCGCACTTGGCGCTTTTAGCTGCTTTTGTTTCGCATTTCGGGGCTTGTCTCAGTTTCAATTGCAATCCTTCAGCGCCGTCGCGACTCGCATCTGCATTGCCAGACAGCGTATCTCAAAAATGTATAGGTCGCTCTCGCTCTCTCTTTTCCTCTGCCTCTCTCGCGCTCTTGGCCAACTAGCAACAATGCGTCCACTTGTTGGGCTTGTGGCTGGTGGCCTGCAGAACTGCACGGCTGTTTCTGTGTTAGCCAAGCTGCCTCTTGGTATAAAACGCACCGTTAGCGCTTCGCTCTGTCGCAGTCGCAATTGCTTCGTTGCTGGGTTTCGGCTTCGTATAAACTTGGCCAAGTTTTGCCACATTTTTGTTTTTGTTTTTTTGTGGTTACTGTGTGAATTTTGATTGTGCGCCAGAAATTTAATTTCAGTTGTTAAGGAACATCCGCTTTAAAATACTACAAAGTGAACGCCGAAGTTTGTTAAAAACAATTCTATTACAATAAGTTCAACGAATTGGCTAAATCGAGTACTTTAACGTGTGCAAAGTGAAGAAATGGTGCGTAAAGAACAGATGCCCTCTTTAATCTTAGGGGACTTATTGGATTATGCCGTTGACATATGTCAATTAAATATACTCATTAAAAATACTGGCAATTTACAAATCAAATCCTAATCAAATTGAAAAACAGATTCATAGCATATTATACTAAGAATAGCCTATAATATAGTACAATTATCTCACCAGATACAAAAATGCTGTTGAAAACTAAATTGAGACCTAAACTATGCCATTTCAAAAAGTAAAATTATTTATAAGGCAAGAATCATTTCTTATAGATCTTACCAAGGTTAAGATTCTTTTGACAGCGGCTGACAGCGCCCAAAAGCTACCCAATGAATGAAGTGTCAACAAGGAGTTCTAGGCGAGAGGGGGCGTCGAAGAGGCTGTAAAAGCAATTTAAATATCAAATGAATGCATTGATATAAAAAGAAGCTCCAAGCTATTAGATAAACACAAACAAATATATGTCATTTAACACAGCCCTACTTTGAAAAGCCCTGCAAAAGATAAACTCCAATTAGCTGGTTATCTAACAGCTTATTTTTGTCCGATCGAAAGCCCCTTCCCCTGCGAGAAGAGCTATTGCTTTAGTGCAATCACGTGTTCTTAGACCGCCCAGTAGCCAGCTGACATTTGTGAATGACACACGGTCACATGATTGATTGGCATGGCCCTAACAGCGCGATTCTTTCTATGCGCTAGTTTGTGTCCCAAGTCTTTTGTTTATGGCCAGGGGCAAAACAATAGCGCGCAAATTACGCACCTTAACGACGACAATTGGCAGTCCATCAGTACCATTAGCCAGCATGTCATTAATCAAGCTGCATTTGCATCCGAGCGCGAGCATGTGACCTGGCCGATCATTACCAAGTGCCGTGGCCAAAATAATTAGAGAGCAGCGTCAAACTGGCGCACGCATCTATGATGATGATGATGATGATGATGGTTACGTTGGCAACTGGCGCTGTGAATGCTGTGCAACAGTCTGGCCAAAAATTGCAACTAGTTTTTTCAAGTTTTATAGATTTATATGTTGTTTTTTTTTTAACCATTTTTTGAATGTGGCATCATTGGGCATTGCACAAAATGCAATTTTTAGACGGCGAGACGAGTGCAGTTTTCGGTTCAATTTTAACTCGCCGCAAGTTGAATCTTGAATGCTGCAGAAATGTTGCAATCGCGGCAGCTTCGAATTGTTGCGTGTGTGTTTGTCGTGACAAATGGCCGTTAGCTTTGGCCAACATTTTTAGAAAGGTGCCGCTTATCAGTCGTGGCCTTGTGCCTTTTGGCAGCTGGTCAGCCACCCACTAGCTCGGCATTTCCTCTGCTCTGCTCTGTTCGGGGAACGGCGCCAAGCATGGCTGACCGCGAGATTCATATTTAAACTATTAATTATTGTTTTCTGTCAAGCAAAGCATTTTCAGCTAAATAACAAACTCAATTAAATGCATCACTGGACGCAGGTGGGCGTGGCAGCGACCACATTTGGCGAAAGGCAGCAAGTTAAGCGTAAACCTTTCACCGCCAACACATAAATTTCAACTGCAAATAGCTTAGACCAGTATCGCGCCATCGCCGCTGGGTGAATCCCCTTCTAAACATCTTCATCCATCTCCTTTTGCAGCAGCAACTTCCTCTGCTCTTGGCTCTGCTGGCAGCGCTGCCAGCGACGAGAGCAGCGCTGACGCCGCCAAACGGCTATGATGATGACAATACGCCGCTTCAACTTAGTCTGGAGGATCTGGAGCGGGAACAGGAGCAACATTTCGACCTCAATCGCCCGCCGCTGCTGCCCACGCATTACGAGTGGCATCCGAGCATAGCCGCCAGCGTGCCGCCCAGCTACGTGCACGATGCCGCCCAGCTGGAGCAAGCGGAACGTTTACGCCAGCTGCACCAGCAGCATCAGCAGCTGAGCGCTGGCTACGCGCTGCCCGGCCAGCTGCCGGATGGCCTACTGCTATTAACCGATGGCAATCTGTAAGTATGCAACAAAAACACACTTGGAGCTTTCACCAAAGCTTGACCTCAGGTGCAAACACAAACCCTTGCAAGCTTAAGCCATTTTACCTTAGACTTCAACAGTTCGAAGCTTTTGTAACTTTTACTTCAATGCACAAGCTTTTCAAGAGCTTGCAGCTTATTTAACGGTTTTATTTGAAGACATTTGGATACATTAAAATCGGGCTGCAAGCCCATAAAAAAGTTCGGAGCAGAGTTGGGGTACTCGCTGCCTTTGCATTGAACTCGATTTATATTTTCAAAATTTTAATAAAACAATTCAATTTCTAATTGATATATGCCCATTCTACTGAAAATATTGAAAGATTTAGATATTTTCATACAGAAATTGCGGGCTAGATTTGATTTCAATCCAAAACTGGCATCTACCAAATATGGCTAGATAAATCCAATGTTTGGTGTTAAGTTTTTTATGGGTTGGTTTAAGGTTTTCTTTATAATAGTAATAAATAAATTGGATTAACGGGCCCGTACCGGTTCTTTTCAAATGTAGTTTGCTTTGATTT